ATATATATATATATATTTACAACTAATTACAAAATATTCTACCCCTAAGGGTAGTCTACAAAACACAAACATCCCCAGCTCCCGCCACTAGGTGGCCTCCGTCTTCAACATCTTAGTCTATCTCTGTCCTACTCTCATACAATGTATGATCATTGCAATCCAAATCACATGAAAACATACGAGGGTAAGCTAGGTAAAATAAACAACACATAATATATATACAACATAGCAACTTATGGTTCATCATCATCACATTCAACGCAAACAATAACAAACAACTTCTATACTACTCACATTTTCTACAACTTACAACACATCATCGCATAACAACACATTATCATCACATCAACACATATTCAACTCATCAACACATATGTGTCGTCACGCATTTCAACTTAAAGATCTCTTACAACACAATATGAGTAGTTTAAGTGGTTAGGTCTTACTGAATCGACGACACATAACCTTTTATTGGGCTTGTGAGGTAAATAACAAATTTGAATAAATATTCACAACACGATAACGGTTTCTCAAACTTTACCACTTAAACAAGAATTATAATAAATACAGATAAAAAGATAACAATATGATTAAATATGATTGAGAAGCTTTTAACTAATTGCGGAAGTAATTATGAAATAAACCTCTAAAGAAAATAAAACATAGATGCTATGATTTTTTTTCAGGAAAACCATTTTAAAATAACGTCACTCACCAAATTATATATTTTAAAATTAGAATAGGTTGAGAGAACAATTGAAACAAACATCTGAGTTACATTATCATATAACAGTTTTAGTCATTTATGTTGATATATAATCGATAAATAATAATATCTATGATTCTAATTATAAATAAATAATTGATTTTTTTAGTTTTAAATATAAATAATAATTATTAGTTTTTAAAGTTATTTAAAGTTAAAATTTTTATATTTTTCATTTATTGTTAACTTTATTTCTTATATATCTACTTATAATTAATATTAAATATAACAATTACTTAAAATTAACAATAAATTTGAAATAAAAAATAATTTTATTGTTAAATCAATTAAAAATAACTATATTTTTTTATCTTTATGATTTGCTTTATGTTATTTATAATAAAGATCTGATGCAGTCCTATAATACTCAATTTTGTATTATTGTTTAATAGGTGCACTTATTACGAAGAATAATGAAAAAGTAATTTAATATATTTTGTATTGTACAATACTCGCTATCCATTACGAAAATTAATTTAATATATTTTGTTCTGTGCTTGATCTTTATTTTCTTTTATATTATTGAATGTCTATATATTTTCAAAATTAAACCAAATTGATGTTTTTGCATTAATGGTTAGCCTTTCATCTATTAACATATCAAACAAGTCATATGGCCTATATAAACGAGGAAAAAAAGAGAGATAAAAGAAAAGAAAAAAGTATCACTTGAATGATTTTTAAATGTTGGGTTTCTAGACCAATCAGGTAGGAATGCGTCATTCTTTAAACAGCTATAAGAAATAGAGAAGTGGGCGTCATAATTTCCAATTACTTTGGTGTGATATTTAAGAAAAATATTATCTCTATATATTGTAAAGATGATATTAAAGAATGTAATTTCAGATGTTAAAAAAAAATCATATTTTTTAAAATAATTATTTACAATTATCTAATATTTTACCTGTCTAATAATTAGAAATATGAAGTATCTCAATGTCTTTAATATGTATAATAAAAATTATATAATAATTTATATATTATTATTCATAAATTTATTTCTAATTATTATTAATAATATTTTTTTACAATAAATAGATCGATGGAAAAAAGATAAATACAAATTTAACGTGATACAAATTGGTTTATAATTTTTTGTTGTACGTTCATATTCAATGCCCTGGTCCTAAGTTTAGTCAGATATTTAAACTTTATTTAGTTGAGGTTAAATGAATTAATAAATAGAAACAGGAAGTGAAAATAAGAAAGTGGAAATAAGTAGAATATTTTGGATAATGAAAAATAAGATAGTGAAAAATTAAAAGATGAAAAGCTCTATCATTTTATTTATTTATACATATTTATTTCTCTTTATTTATTTATATATATATATATATTATTTTTCACATACTTCTCATTTATTTATCTTTAATTAAATATTAAATTTTTATTCGCTCTTTATTTTTCTCAACTTTATTTCTCTCTTATTTATTTTTCTTCTTTACCAAACACAGTGAATGTCATGTACCTTAGCTGGAGTTTTGTTTTTCTTTCTTCACTGTTCTGGCACTCAGCCACCTTTCATATATTTAGCTAAACAATTAGTACAGCCTAACCTAATCAACTCTCTCACCCAAACAATTCAAGCAAACAATGAACCTGTAATGGTGGGGACGTGATTTGCTATTCCATAAATGACAAAACAACAGAGCACGATTTATGTATACTGGTTTATATATTTGTGCGTTTGGACGTGGGTAGATATAATTAATTTTAGATCAAGTGATTTTAAGATTGATTACGATTAAAATTGAGTTTGAAGTAACAATCTTTGTTTATATAATTATAAGATTTAAATATGTTTTTAACTCTCTTAAATTTAAAATAAATTTATTTGTATTTCTCATATTTAAGATTAATTTTATTAGCCTATATAATATAAAAGAAAAAAATTAGCCTATCAAAGTCACAAAGTAACATATGTGATAATTATAAATCAAGATATTTATGCAACATTAGTTGAGTTGAATGTGATGTCTTTATTAATAAGAGTACTAAAAGATAAATTTTGTGCGACAGTAATTCATAAATTTATTGGTATGTTTAGGTGAAGATTTTTATATATTCAAAGAATTTGAAATTCTTAGAATTTGAATTATTTATTTTCATCATTTTTTTAATCTCTTATTTGTACAAGTCAATTCAATTTTTGTCAATTTTAAATTATTAATTTTGATAGGACAATTTAATTTTCAGCATAGATAAAATTGATTTTAAACAAATATATATTGAAACTTTAAGATTTAATTTTATAAAAAATATTAATCAATTTTTAAATATTTAATAATTTTAAAAAAATATATGTTAGATAATATCTTATAATTTAAAAAATAATTTTGAATATTCAATAATTAAAAAAATCATTGATATTTTTTATGTCAACTTTGAAAGAGAGAAGATACAGGTAGGAAGAAAATAGAGAAAGAAGAAATTCAAATTCTTACTTTTTTTGAAGAATTTGAAATTATACTCTTTTGAGGAATCTCATATATGCATAGATTTTAAATTCTTTGTAAATTTTTCATCCAAATAAAACATTTCACACCAAGACATTTGAAATTTTTTTAAAAAATAAATTAACCCATTTAAATTTCCCATGACACTCTCTACCTCTTATACATACATTCAATAATGTAAAGTAATTAAGTATAAAAAATAATTCATTAATTAACCAAAATTACGGACAAAAAGTATTATTACATTTGAAACTCCAAAACTAAAAGCTAAAACAATTACAAAGAATAACAAATAAATTAAGTGGAAACATTTTCTAAGAAAAGAAATTGAAATTCTTAAGGCAATATAAAGTAATTCCTAATTAGAGTCATGATGTCACATCCTATCAAAGTAATCTCATCAAAAATTCAAACTCCCCCAAAAAAAATCACCTACATAAACAAATCAAAAACAAGACACAGAAAAAAAAAAGAGC